ATTGTTACCATAACAACACTGGTTTTGAAATTGTGCTCAGGTAGCAGAATCCTTTTGCATCAATGTGAAAACTATATGGATGTTTTTGTTTGTCTCTTCATTAACTTTGCTGTGCATTTTTTTTTTTTTGGGTATCCATTATATTCTTTTGACGTTACTGAGTAAAAATAAGAACCATTCTCATTTTTATTCTCGGTTGAACACAAAGGAATGGCTTTAAGGGCAACAAATATTCAGCTCATTTTTTTGGTGTGGAAAGTTGTACAGAAGCTACAGTTCCATAAAATCCTAGTCGTGTCCCTAGTCTTGTTTGCATCTTTGATTTAGTCCTAGTTGAAGTGGTTTCCCTGATGACCAGAGACTACAGTTTTAGCTAGAAATGGAAAGGGATCTATTTATTCTTTGTTTTTTCTGGAATTGTTCTTCTGCATAACATAGACCTTTTGGCCAATTCTTCCACAAGGGTACCAGTGCTTCATGTCCAATGCTTTTTTTTTTTTTACTATGTTGGTGGATCATGCCCTTTACTCCATACCTTTTTGATAATGTTCATTATCTTGGGTAAACCTCATGGTTTGCATGCTCTGGGTCATCCATTTTTAAAGTTAGTTTCTTCTTTTGCTTTGTTTCTTAAAGGCATGTCTGGAAATGCTGTACTTTGCTAGCTATTCTGGTGATGCTGATAGTAGCATCGTGAGGGAGACCTGGGCCAGACTCATTGATCAAGCTCTTTCGAAGGGTGGCATTGCCGAAGCTTGTGCAGTATTAAAGAGGGTTGGCTCCCGTCTTTATCCTGGGGATGGAGCAGTCTTACCATTAGACACATTGTGTCTACAGCTTGAGAAGGCTGCTTTGGTATGGGGTTCCCCCAATTTAGCTTTTTCTCCAGCTTTTCTTTGACTTTCTTTTTTCAACTTCTTCTTACGAACTGATTTATGAAGTTTCCTATTATTTTTATCTTTGTGGAACAAGTACATTTTCCTGCCAACTTTGACATTTTAATTTGTCACAAGTGTGTTGCGATCATAATTTTGAAATTTTTGTAGGAGCGAGTGGTTTCAGGGGTTGAATCTGTTGGAGATGAAGATATTGCAAGAGCTCTATTAGCTGCTTGCAAAGGTGCAGTAGAACCTGTATTGAATACTTATGAACAATTGTTATCAAATGGAGCAATTTTACCATCTCCAAATTTGAGGTTACGCCTTCTTCGCTCGGTGCTCGTGGTGCTTAGAGAGTGGGCAATGTCCGTTTTTGCACATAGGATGAGTACAAGTGCTACTGGAGCTTCTTTAATCCTTGGTGGAACATTTTCCTTTGGGCAAACCACAACCATTAACCAAGGGGTTCGTGATAAGATTAGTAGTGCCGCTAACAGGTAAGCTCCTCGTCTTTATTTTAATTAATTAGGCTTAAATCCCATCTCAATATAACAGAATTCTGAGGTGCAAACTCTGATACATTACAATTTTGTATTTTTTTTAATTGAAAATCGCTATTAGAATTTTTCCAAGGTGTCGATGTGGAAATCCTTTTAACATGTACATTGTACCATTGTGATGGAGAGTATGACGTTCTTTTGGAGATAACATTTAATTTGAAGCTATTAACTTTTGCTAACAATAGGAAGTCCTAAAATTGTGAGAAAAGTTTATTAAGGTGTCTTCGGATCGTGGCAAACGCTTAATGCTGGTCCTGTATCTGTGCTAGAATCTATTGGATTTACAGTTGGTATTCTGTTTTGGCATGTAATATACCAAGGTAGCTGTAAAATTCTGATTTCCACGACAGTGGGCTTCTGAGGTCTTTATACCGGGATCCCGAACAAGTTTCCATGCTAAAAGAATCTACCATACAGCTACCCCAATGTACTATAGTGGCTATGGTATTCCAATTTTCAATCTGGTAGACTTCTAACATGTTAACAGCAGTTATTCAGCATGTTGACTTTACTCTCTCTCTCTCTCTCTCTCTCGTATATCACTTGTTTTTAGAGTTGTCGCGTGTTTTGACTCTAAATTCAATTTGCTTGACATGGTAAACTCTCACACCACCTTTGTTTAACTATAAAGTCTATTGGGTTAATTACTTCATATGAAAAACTCTATTCTCAGTTGTTTTCACCCTACACTTATTGTGTTGTAAACATTAGTCAATATAATGTGCAAATATTTGATCTGGTTTAGTTCTGCACTATTATTGGGTTGATATTTGCAAGTTCGATGGGCGGAAGGGTCTCTTGTCTTATCTACCTGATTACTTAGCTCATTGAATTCCAGTATATCAAATCTGATAGTGACACACTCTATTTACAGGTACTTGACTGAGGTCAGGAGACTGCCACTGCCACAGAGTCAAACTGAAGCAGTCTCTCGAGGTTTCCGAGAGCTTGAAGAATCACTGCAAAGTCATTTTCCATTTGACCGTTTTTGATATTCCCTCTAATTTAAGTTTGTTAGTATTTAACATTTCTTGTTTCTTTGCATTGTGTTAAGAATCAACACATCTTTTCCAATGATCTGACCTATTAATGTGATCTTCCACCTCATTCATCATGGCGTTGCTTATGGAATTTCACTCTTATTTGCAACCATCATTTGGCTGCTTAAATGTTCGAGGCAGGGCCTGTGGAGCTGAATATTCTTCTTGTATTGAGTGTTGCTAAGCTTAGACGTAGCTCACGACTAATAATATTTCAGCACGTTGTAGAGAATGTAGATGAATCCAGTTAAACACTTGGGGTACTTGCAGGGCTCACCAGACCAACTTTGGTCTGATCTTCATCAGTGATGTTTTGAGTAATAGGGATTGAATCAATCAAGGCAGGTGAGGCTGGGAAGTAATTCAGAGTATTTGTAAATGAATAATTTCAATATGTATAAGAGAAATTTGCCGGCCCTTTTTAGGCCATCATGGGTTTGTAATAAACTAACATCGAAGCATCTTCAAGGGACCTGAATTAGTAGTTTGGAAGGTACAGGATAAACTAGGGTAGGTAACGTAAATTGCATTCAATATTTCGGGTACAGTTGCTACAAATGGATGCAGATATGTCACCTGTGAAATTAAAGGTGAGGAAGAAAAGGTAATTTTTTTTTTTTTAGTATATAGAGAATGTATACACAAGCAAAATTTGGTAGTCGAATTTAAATTGAAAGAATGTGGTCTAGTCTAAGATTCATCAATATAGGAAAGATTAAATTTTAGAAAGAAAAGTGAAGAAAAAATTTTTTTTTTTGCAAGAAGTTTCTTGAAGAATAGTGCCCGATTGTTCCTTCCCGAATGAAGGGAAAAAAAAATGGAAAACTCACGTCTTTTGTAATAAGTTGGTGCTTGTACTTCATTGATTATGGATTATCAGTAACAATTATTTTTAATGGTGTAACATTTTTTGAATAGAGTATAATTCTACGTGAATTAGTTATAAAATTTCACAATAAAGATGCAATTATTATGTATGGATTCACATGAATAGTAATAAAATATTAAACTTTTATTGTAAGAATGAGCAGCTGACTTCTTTGAATCAGTTGAATCCCCTATAAAATTCATAGTTCATTTATTTAGAATTAAAAATGTTAAAAAATATATTACATGGTCCAGGGATGGTTGTCCTGCGTCCGTTAACTAGAGGAGGGCATATTTGAAGTATAATTTTATATAAATTATCTGTAAAATTTTACAATGAAGACATAATTATTACGTATGAGATCCACATGAATAGTAATAGGACATTAAACTTCTATTGTAAGAATGAACAGCTGGTTTCTGTTAAAAATATATTACATGGTTTCAGGGGTGGCTGTCCCGTGCCGGTTAACTAGATGAGGGCATGACTGGAACTGTCAGACAGCAAGGTTTGATGCTTCCATATCAGGAAATTCTAACTTAAGAATTGGGGAACCTAAAAGGTTCACTGCTTTTGGCCATTGCAAGGTTTTTGCACCGACACACACTAGGCAAAAGAAGGTCAGTATGTGTGTACAGCAATATGTTATTTGTCTTTTTTATGAGGTGTGGTTAGGAATGTACGTGAGCCGAGCAACTTTTTATGAGGTGTGGTTAGGGATGTACGCGAGCCGAGCTACTCGCGAGTAGCTCGGTCAACGGCTTGGCTCGAACTCGGTCAAATCGAGTTCGAGCCGAGTTTCGAGTAGCTCGATTGGCGTTCGAGTCGAGTTTCGAGTCTCAAATTTTTGGCTCGAGGCTTGTTGAGTAGCTTGTCGAGCCGAGCTATTTAAATAATATATTTATAATTTAAATCATATATATGTATTATAATTATAAAATGACTATTATGGGTATAGGTTATACGGAATTTACAATATACTCTTCTTTATAATAAAATTTTATAAGGGTAAAAAAGTAATAACATAATTATAAAAATACCTAAAAAGAAAAAATGTCTAAAAAATGCCTCAGTTTTTTGGTCGAGTCGAGTCAAAAAACTTGATTAGACTCGGCTTGATAAGGCTTGACTAAGGGTCGAGCCTTATCGAGTCGAGTTTCGAGCTTAGAGCGAGTACATCGAGTCAAGTTTCGAGTATCAATTTTTTTGACTCGATCGAGCTCGAGCCTAGGGATATATGAGTCGAGTCGAGCTCGAGTATAGCACTACTCGAATCGAGTCTAATGATTTAAAAAATCGATTCAATTTATTTCTATCCCTAGGTACCACACCTAGGGATGGAAATAAATTGAATCGATTTTTTAAATCATTAGACTCGATTCATATTTTTGTACTCGAATTCGAATCTTATATGAGTTCAAAATTTAAGTTCAAGTTTGATTCTAGAGTTCAAAATCTTCTTTAACTTTTTACTTTTAATATTACGTTATCAATATTACGTGTACAATATACAATAGAAATATAACTTTGCACCAAAATATTAATAAAAATATTAGAAATTATACGGGTCTCATTGAGCCTAAACGAGGTATAAGTTCGAATTCGATTCGACACCTTAATTGAATCTTAATATTTGTTCAAAGTCTAGCTCGAGTTGGTTAAAAAATCGAACTTGAATTGAGTTCATTAAGGCCTCGGTTGGTTTATCGCCCTGGTGCCATAAAAGAAAAAAGGGATGAAATACATGAATTATAACTCTTACTACAACAAACTGACTTTTGGGAGCGGTTTTTCAATGCATGTAACTCAAAGCTGCTGATCATATGAGACATCCGTGTGAAATTCAGTACAACTCACAAAAGCTGATGCCAATACTAGTATTCCACATTCATCCGGATCTTCTTTTGCTGCTCAGCAAATACTCAAATGGAGGATTCGAAAATTTTCCTTCAAGTAATAATTCAGCAACAGCTTTATACATGCCTTCAGTGAGGTGAACACCATCCCAGTTGATGTACTGAGAAGGGTTGGAGCAGGAAGTAGCCAAGGGTGAACCACAAGTGTTAAACAGATCAAAATTGTACAAACCAGATTTAGATCCACAGCAGGCTTTGAAAAGTTCTTTGATGCCGTATTTCTCGGGATTCTTTACCACTGAAGCATATGCATTCCAGTAATCTGCATACACTATCACAGCATTTGGGAACTTTTTCCTGAAATCATTTAACTTGGCTTGAAGAATGGTGTTGTGAGCATAGCTTTGTTTGTTTGAACTTGCCACACAGCCTAAAGTGTCCCTATCATTCTCAGCAGCCAGATACATGGTTAGTGTTAGGCACCCTGTTGGTGGCAGCCCTTGAACAACAAGATACTTCACTCCCTTGTTCAGAATGGCCTGTGAATTCAACACCAAAAATGGTACACATAAAGCTAATGACATCCATTATTTCTCCATTTCATTGTCCATCCTACTCGCCATAGCTAAGAAAAAGATGCTTGCACGAGTTTCAGGATAAGGATCAATTGATGCAAAACAAAGGGTATAACAAAAAGATAACAATTGAAACGTTCCTTTACAAATCAATAAACTACATATACCATCCATCAAATAATGAAATAATGTGTGCATTATTACCTCTAAGAAACGAGTCACACTACCAATGGCTAGCTTCTGAATTGTTGTGCCTGAGACAGAAGATCCAAGAGTATATGCATAATCATTTGCACCAATTTCACCAAGCCAAATCAAGGCATTATCAAAAACAGCTTTGCACTCTTTAGGTGTTGTTATTGAATTTTTACACCCTTTGGTTTCCAAAAATTCGTTAAACCAAACAAGCTGAGTTTGAAGTGACTGAGGGGTACGGTTAAGTGTGAGATTGTTCTTCACAAAGAAACTATAGATTATTGCAGTAGAGCCAGCAACAGCAAAATTAACACCATGAGATTTGTCTGCTGTTTTACTTAGATAAGGTGGCAAGAAAGGCAAAGAAAGTTGTTGAGCTAAAAAGTCAATCACCAACCTTCCATCAGAGTATCTGTTTGTGGGATGGTGGAAGAAAGTTTGGCCATAAGGAGAGCGTGACGCATAGAGGTATGCATTTGGACCAGTGGTTGAGTTGGTGTTGCCAGTGTCAGTGTAGGAATCTCCAAATGCATAAATGGACTTGAAAGGCGGAATTGGATGAGTTGCAGTTTTGGCAGATGTGGCACAATTGGTGACAGGGGATGACAGGATGATGAATGTAAAGGTGATAGTAAGGAGGATAAGGGAAGAAGCCATCACTTTTTTCAGTTAGATTTCAGAAGTTAGAACCTCACTGCTATCTTTATAGAATACTTGTGCCTCTTAGGAGAGACAAGTATTTACCATGTACATGTCTTCACCCTCCACCAAATCAATACAGAAGTTTCACTTCATATGAATAAAACTAAAGACCAAACTAAGAAAATGGAAGTGCATGTTTCTTTAGCTCTTTGATAATCATATATGCCGTGGAATATTGATTCATTATCTAGCTACTTTAAATCCATCTTCCGGAAAAGCATGTATAGGCCAAAAAGGTTTTCTAATTCAACACTAATAGTATCCTTATTTTGCTGAATTCATTCTCCATCCATCACTATCCAGCATAATCTTATTCTTAGTTCAGCTAATTGGTTGATCTAGATTACAGAAAAGGATGCCAATGAATTAAGGATTAACTGCTGAAGTAGTGGTGGGAATTGATGAAATCCATGAGTAGTATTTATGGAGGCAATTGACAGCAGCAACAGACATGATTTTTCCTTTCTACGTTATGGTTAGAAATTTATGGAGGTTGTTGGAAAGCTTGAGATCATAAATGTACATCCACCCCCTCCAACTGCTTCTTCGGTGATTTTGGAATTTGGTTGACTAGACCAACTGTAAGAAGGTGAAATGTAGTGAGCAGAGAACTGTTTCTTTGCATGGGATTGGGAGCTGCAGTAACAAGCTTCCAATATTCTGTGTGTCGGTTACCCTCTTTCTTAATTAATTAGAATCACATATCTCTTTTAATGATCTGCAGAGACAAATATTAATCATGTCTCACACGTATTTAAGTTTCAATTCGTTTTCTACAAAAGTTATTGTTGCTGCACTTAACAAAAGCTGGTGATACATCATTTGATTGAGTTTTTATGTGTCGAAGTATCATACAAAAGAAGGGATTGATAAGTGTCGAATCAATGATTTGATTTGTATGTTTGAACACAATGCGAACAATTCTTAGTCAGAATAAGATATTCACATACAAACGGTGAGTTTTAGAAGACATGTTGTAGTGTTTTGTTTCGTGAATTATGCTTATTTAGGAGTTATTATTATTTTTCACTTCTCTAAAATGCCCTTATTTAATGCACTTTTTTCTCGGTGAATATAATCTAATTTATTCACTAATTACTTTAATTCATGGTTTGAATGGTGCAGCTTTTTATCAATGTTGTTGTTGCAATTAATGTAAAAGTATAATGATTAGTTATGCTACTAATATTAATGTAAGGGTATTTTAGAAAAATAGTAGATTAGATTTACACTTTCAATAAAATTAACTAATTTTTCTCAGATTGTGTGCAAAAAAAAATCAAGACTTGTACATTTCACTACCCAGTCTATTGACAAGTGGCAATGACTAGACACACACCGAAAATGAAAACATGGATAAGTGATAAAAATAGACAAATTTTGTGCAAGTGAATGATAACGTCACTTTCGCACCCTCTCTACAATTATTTAATTGCATGTTGGTCCTAAGTTCCTTTAAGCCAAAGATTAATGAGGTTTTGCAATTACATGCAAAGTTATGTTATTTAAATGTTGGATTAATGATTTATACATTGACAGTGTATATAGCATCGTTATTGGATGCATGACAACTCATGTATCATGCGTCCAACCGTAATAGTGTATATATTATTATTGTACATAAGATTTACTCATGCATATTTGGTCCTTTGGGTTGAAAGGTTTGCAAGATTTAACCATTAAGACCAAATTACTACGCCAATTTTAGATGAGTTTATTGCCAAAATAACTCTCCTTAAAAAACATATACCCAAAATAATCTAATTTTAAAATTTATTATCATTATGATTCTTTTTTTGCCACATAGGTTACATATGTGCTAGGATAGAGATAGAGGCATGCTCCATTTCTTTTTCCAATCTAATATCTTCCTTGATTCTCTCTCTCTAAACCTTCCCATACTTCTTTTCTTTGCATTATCTTTCTCTTGTCAAACGTAATTCTGAGAAGTCAATATTTATATTAATAATATTTAAAACTTCAGTATCATACTTAATATTGTTCCGGTGGATAAAAATATTCTTCTAGAATTGATAATTTCAAGGTAAACAAAGATTATTCTCGTCTTTTTTATTGTGAAATTTATGGAACATTCCTATGGCCATCAAAAAAATGGTCATGAATGGTAAAGAAAAATGACGAGAAAGTGGTTAATTTTGATTGGTGAAGCTTGAAGTGCAGAGTACTGGTTCAAATATTTCAACTCTACTTGCAATTGGATCACGTATCTGTCTTGGAATTTTTTTTTCTTGGAAATTTATTATAGTTATACTATGATTGAGTGTTTTTTCAAGTTATTCTACTCTACTTAGAGATAAAGAAGAGACGTATGCTTATTTGTCTTCTTGATTCTCATAAAGTATAACTTTTTGTTATTTTTTTGGTTTGTCACCTATTTGAATGATTGCCAACTTATTTGAAACTTGTTTTTAGAACCCCATTAACTAATTCCATCTTGATTTTCTTTAATATTCTGAAGAATGGTTCCTGACTAGTTAGGAAATTGTGCAAATCATTAAGTAAGAGTTGAAGGAAAAAAAAAATATAAAGGTGAAACATCATGAACAATATTGAAAATATTCAATTGGAACTAGAGAAGAAAATTTCAACTTGATTACTTGTTGTAAAAGTTTTTTTCAAGGAGTAGGAAGGACAATATAAACAAATATCATAGCTTTGAAGTTGTTGTGACTTTTTCTTGTTATTGCTTACAATTTTCATTGAAATTTTCATTGTAATTTTTGTATTTTTAAAAAATTGTTTTTTTTAAAAAATATATGCAATAATAGGTTTGATTCATTTCAAAAAAAATGTAGAGACCAATAATTGTAAGGTCAATAATGGTAGAATTTATTTTAAATAATTATAAGGAAATTATCAAAGTTATACTATTTTCTTGTGCCTCTATAATAAAAAAATTTAAATTTTTAGTTCATGTTAGAAACGATAGAGTAGATAAAAACTTTCCTTTCTTGCTATCCTATATGACAATCAGGATAATTAGGTGGCAACAATAACATCTTTATGGGATTAAAATTGGAAAGTGAATCAAATTGGGAATATTTTTTTAGAAAAGTGTTATTTTGGCAAAAAATTCAATTTTAGATAGTGAACTACGTCTGCTGCTAATGTAGTTGCTTGTCGAGCATTTGACAAAGTGACACCATCCATTTCAAATAGAATTTGTCCTGTGAACACACGAGCAACTCAACCCATATGATTTCCTTTTCCTCTTCCCATTCTTACTTAGTACTCCCGTAGGTTTCTCAATAATAGGGAGATCTGCGAGAACTCTTACGCATGTCTTACCATTTCTTTAGAATAGTCTGCTCATAGCAGTACGGAAGTGTCCAATTATAGCACGCGCTGCTTCAATGGCTCGATATGAAAGAAGACCTTTTTTTTTTAATCAAAGGATGATCTGACACCTCCTTTAATTTTTTTTTTTTTCACTATAGATAGAATTCGAACCCCATTTTTTTTTTTCACTATAGATAGAATTCGAACCTCGAACCTACAGTTCAAAGAAAAAGCTCAGTGGCTGATATGAAAGACAACCTAGCTCTACAACTTTTAGTGCCATATCTTCCAAAATCAAGTTATGGACGGAGCTTATGGTCTTGTTGCTTAGGAAGGGCCGAGCTATCCATAAACATATAAATGCACGCACACACTTATTTTTCCTCCTTCAACACTTACCTTATTTAATAAGCCAAAAACCTCTTTTGTAGATAGAGCCATCTAAGTAATGCTTAATAGACACCCGTTAAGATGTAATTAAGGTGCTAAATTTTTTACAAAGTAAAATTAATTAAGAAAAGTATATAAATACAAGGTAGAACAACAATTGTAGGTTGAGTATGAATTAAGTGCATTAATGAGAGCTCGCTAGGCACCTGTTCAAAAAAAACCCTTGTGAAGATTGCAAGACAAGCCCCATAAAATCATATATAAGATGGAGAGCATGTTCAGCACAAAATGTCATGTCAGACTAAGCTGTACTAATACAGCATTAAAAAGAACCCAAAAGAAATTACCTGCAAACATTAATCACTAATATTTACAAAAACCAATTCAGTTGCGCTACATTTTCCATGACCTAAAGGTTAGCGCGTATCAACAACAGGTAGTGGGATCATATTACAGAAACTTTAGCCATCATTTTACTAGAAGGCTCAGCATAAGACACTGCAACTTTTTTAACAATCACACCTCAACATTGGCTTTGTTCCCAGCTAAAATAAGAGAGATCTCCAATCCACGACTGAATGCTTGGTTAAAGAGGAGACGAGATTGGAAAGTGGAGATGAATGGGAACCAAGATAACATTGCAATTGGGGCGAAAATAATCATACCCATCCCGGCATCATACATTCGAGCAAACTCCTTGACTGATTCCCAGAGTCCTAAACTCCTCACTACTCTCTTCCACGTGATAGCAAGCTGTGTCAACACAACAAATACAATTTATGAACTCGAGATATAATCATATACAAAAGAACGTGACGAATCTGGCATTCCTGACATCCCCTGGAAAGTGCAAACAAATCTAAAGCACCTAAACTAATGAACTGATTTATGGCGGTATACCACCACATAATAAAGTCATAATTGTTCGATTTACCTAAAGAAGTATTAATAATTGCACTCATAGGAGGAAAAAATTAGCATGTTTCAACTCAATTTACTTACACATATGATGAGCCATCCAGTAGCAATAAATGCAAGGATGCTAGCAAACAAGTCTGGAACAGAGAGTTTAGTGAACACCACGACAAGGACTAGGGCTGCAATAAGCGCCAAGGCTGTAACTCCCTGAGTGAATCGGAGCATCAGCTGGAAGTTTGTGGATTTTTTAGGGGTAAAAGTAAATATCTGCAAAAGGAAAAGACAATGAATTATTGGTACCTAAGACAGCAGAAAAAGAACAACTAGTATGCTGTATACCACACAATAGAGAAAACTTCGAGGCATAAAAGAAAATTTTCATCAAGGCACAAACCTTGAAGATCAAGACTATTCCAACAAGTACGACCCAAGAGAAGCCATAGATCTGAAGAATGAGAGGAGATGTTAAGATCAATGAAAAGGAGAAAAAAGAAAAGAGAAGGAAAAAAAAAAATCAACTATTGATGCA